TTTTGCCTGCTGAAGCTTTCAGTATCGATCAGTGAAAGTACTGCAGGAGAAATGGTGACAGTGGGGTAAATGTGCTGCTCTCTGAGCAGCTTCTTATCTTCTCACACCCAGCAGAGGTGGAGCAACTCCCCAGCATCCTCATAAATCTCTAGCTAGTATGAGGGAGAGAGTGAGAGGGAATGAGAAAGGACAGGAGGGAGGACGAGAAATAAGAGATTCCCCAGGTCAGCGGGTAAACCCGCATAAGTGCAGCTGAAGGAAATGAGCAAGAGTCATGCTTCTCTATCTTCATACCTTTTCAGAGAGATGATGTATGCAAAGCAGCAGTGTGTCGCTACCACCTGTTCTTCACTCAGGGTCCCCTTCATGCTCTTGTCTGCCACAATACCCATAAGAAATGAGCTGGCTAAGAAATCCAGCTCCACCCCAGCTCCGCTCCATCACGGCCCTCACAGAGGAACTGTTCTCTAATCAAGTCTGTGCCCATCACCCGCTGCCCAAATCCCGTGAGGCTGTGTCTGGATGTCTGGGTGAAGACAGACCCGAGGACTTTGCTCTCCCTGCACTTGGAGATGCCCAGGCACATGTTACGTTTGACAGGATTCAAAGATGTTTTCCTGTGGGTAACAAACACTCACAGTACTGACAGTAAATATCAGCAGGAGAGAGTCCCAAGAGTGTTGCCGAGGGCTGTAAGCTCTTACCCATCAGGCTATAAAATGACTTCTAATTTGAACGGGAGGGATATTGTTCCCTCAAAGAGCTAATTATGTAACAGATAAGTACTCTGCAGCTCTAAAATCTTCCTCCCTAGCTTTTTTTTTTTTAAAATGCTGCTGTCAGGGAATAAGTAGGCTACTGGGTCAGGCAGATCCAGAGTCTGCTCCACAGGTATGTTCTCCAGAAGACCACAGCATTGCCAAACCCAGGGGGCAAGTCTCTTGCGTTCTGACAGGTTTTCTACATCCCTAGAGATTTCACATTTCCAGCTGATCACCTCAGCACAGACTATGTCACTACACCCATCACAGAACCTGACATTTTGTGGGATAACATTTCCTTTAAACATAACACTGATAATATGGCAAACAAGATTTTCCTGTCACTGACTAGTGAGAGGAATGAACGCAGCTCCACAGTCTGAGCTGCTATGCTATTGTAAATTCATTAGTTATACCTCATTTGGACCACTGCGAAGTAATTACGTAAAACCTCTCACAGAGTACTTTAAAACCTTTAAATATTCTTTACAACTAAGCAGCAAGAGCAATTCCACAAAGGTAATTTTCATAAATATCATTGTAAACTATATGAGGGACTGCTCTAATTACCTTTTGCAAGCTGGTGTGAGAAATGTCTTGCCACCACTATTTGTAAGCCTCTAAATGACCTGGCACAAAGTTACTTAAAAGAACAAATTAATTTTCAATTCAGATGTCCATTCATAGACCAGTAGGTCAAACACTAATAAATGTGTTTGTTCTAACTCATAATACAGCAGGCCCAATTCCAGAGTGTGTTGTACTCACATTGGCACAAACAGGGACTAATCCCTCACAATTACTGAGGCTAGATTAGCACAAACAAATCTAAATGAAACAAAGAAAATCCCTTTTTCCATTCATGTATCTGATTTCTATGAGTGTTTTATAATGGATGAAAAATGACTCATCTAACAAGTCAAAAGATCGAACAAAGAATTCCATTCCTACTGCAGCAAATGTGGTGGCCATCACCAGCTTTGGAAAGACCAAAAAGAACAAGCCAGACAACACACCCAGACAGTATTCACAACAGACCAGCAAAGATGGTAGGAAGAGCCAACCTTTCCCAATTACTAGATGAGAATGGAGACAGAGCAGGGCAGAGGTATTACATTTTACCAGGTGCCTTTGCAAGAGGAGACTCAGGGGTGCAGAAATGAGAGCAAAAGCTCCCTAGCACCTCTGAACGCTGCTAGGGAATAATCAAAAAGTAGATTGGGTGGGTCATCATCATTGTGCAGGTCAACCAGGGGACTGGGCCCAGCCAGCGTGGGTTCATGAAAGGCAGGTCCTGCTTGACCAACCTGATCTCCTTTTATGACCTGGTGACCTGCCTAGTGGATGAGGGAAAGGCTGTGGATGTCATCTACCTGGACTTCAGTAAAGCCTTTGACACCGTCTCCCACAGCATTCTCCTAAGGAGGCTGGTGGATCATGGCTTGGACAGGCGTACTTTTTGCTAGGTAAAAAACTGGCTGGGTGGCCGAGCCCAGAGAGTTGTGGTGAATGGAGTTAAATCCAGTTGGCAACCGGTCACAAGCGGTGTTCCCCAGGGCTCAGTTTTGGGGCCAGCCTTGTTTAGTATCTTTATCAACGATCTGGATGAGGGGATTGAGCGCACCCTCAGTAAGTTTGCAGATGACACCAAACTGGGTGGGAATGTCGATCTGCTTGAGGGTAAGAAGGCCCTGCAGAGGGATCTGGACAGGCTGCATCGATGGGCTGAGGCCAACTGTATGAGGGCCAACAAGGCCAAGTGCTGGGTCCTGCACTTGGGTCACAACAACCCCATGCAAAGCTACACAGGCTTGG